CGCCACTTTTTCTCATGCTTGAACATAGCTGGTGATTCTAAAGAAGGTTCAACATGGCTTTTGCATAAACCAGTTGCAAACAATTTTTCACTATTATGACAACGTAGAATATTCATTTCATATAATAATAATAATAATGTTTATTGGAGCACTTATACAAAATGAATATATATATACATTAAAAAAAACAACACTCTAAAAGGCTGAGGATTGGCATTGCCATTTTCACCGTCGCCTACAGCAAGCACATAGAGATTCAGTAAATTAAAACTATTTTATTCAGTAATGCGATTCATCCTATCTCTAATTTTACATAGGTAATGTAATGTATAAAATTGGGGTACCATTGTAAATAAAACACAATATTGTATCGTAAGTTAATGTAGGATACGAACGAGATATGATAATAATAGAATATAACGATAAACGTGAAAACATCTCAACTTAGAAGATTTCGAAGGACCGCCCTGTACCATTTCATTTTTACTACATGGGCAGTACGTAAACAATTCGATATGGGCAACAATTTCAGGGTAATATTAAAGTCATTTACTTGGTGACGAAGCGACAATGAGTTATCCTCCTTTGGCAAGCGATTAGGGCGATATGATCGGATTGTCGTGGCCAACACCTATCTTTAGAAAAACACTTATGAGTATCTCCCGTATTCAACTAACTCATGACATCACATGCACAAATCTACTATTTACCATTACATAATCTACCCCAACTACTAGTAAGGAATCGTCATCGACTGAATCACGGGATCGTCAGACAGACTAATCCTGACCGTCACACAGACTGATTATTAAGTCGTCACACAGACTAACTGTTTGGTCGCTAGGTGTATGGTCAGACGTGCCGAGTTCAACGATTGTTACAAAAAGGACAGTCCAGAAACCGGGATATCACGTGGCCAAGGGCCGTTGTGTCAATACCTCAAAGCTCCGCCGTTACCCCTGAATCAGAGATAACCGAGCAAGATGACTATCATTAAGTAACAATCCCGTAACACATGTTGCTATGAGAGACATTCAGACTCAGCGATTGCCAAAAGAAGATAATTAAGCAGTCATTCAGACCTAGAACGCCACAACATGGCTTAAGGGCATCATGATCATGAATATAAGTATTATGTTATCAAACCATGTAGTTCGGTAGAATAAAGGAAACACTCAGTGATTGCTCACCTTACAGGTAACCAAATCACTACACCCAATAGCACACCAACACTGTAATTAGGTCCACAATGCGTACTACTTGGTCTAAGAAGCGATCTCTTCCATGCACTATTTGAACTGTGATGCGAGCCACGCCCGAATTTTAAGTAAATTTATCCTGGGAACAAGTGCCCAGAGAGAGGAATGGAATGTATAACATAAACAGGCGTAAGGGCCGTCGTGCTGAGTGACACTAAGCAGACTTGTGAACCTTCTGGAAAGATTTTGTGTGCTACAGGGTTGAACTCGCATGCAAAAATGTGTTTGAGATATTTCGTAAGCTTACACATGCAACCTTATGCTAAGCGGAACCTTAACTTGTATTTATTGCACCATATATACTTAAAACTAGAGTAAAACTTAAATAGATAGATGAGCTAAGTCAAAATGTACCTTGGTTTCGACAATTCAATATTGTGTATCTCAAAATACTGTTTCAAAAGATTATATACAGGGTGCGGCAGAGAGGATGAACGGTTTTAAAAAAATCATAAAATAGTTAATTTTTACTCGAAAACAAATTTATTGATAGAATCAGGTTCACAAGGAAATAGCATTTGAGACAGTCAAGTGTGGAAAATCACATCAGGCATGTGGTGGCCGAAATCGTTGATGCAGTGCTGGAGGCGTTCTTCGCGTAGACTCTCTCCAACATCGCTCTCTCAACTTGGGCGACTTCCAGGCGAATTTCGCCCTTCAATTCGTCCAGAGTTCGTGGCTTGTTCGCGTATACTCTAACCTTGAGGTGTCCCCATAAGAAAAAATCGCATATGGATAAATCTGGGGACCGAGGAGGCCAATGAACATCGCCAAACCTGGAAATAAGGCGACCAGGGAAGAGAGTGCGAATAACGTCCATGGATTCTCGGGCTGTGTGGGCGGTCGCCCCATCCTGCTGGAACCACACACGTCGAATTGGAATACGTCGCCGTCGTAATTCAGGTAGAAAGAAGTTGGTGATCATGTCGATGTAGCGCTCTGAGTTCACGGTAACATCACGACCATTACAGTCTTCGAATAAGTAAGGGCCAATGATGCAAGTTTGCGATAACGACAATTCTGCTGGTTAACCATGCTGTTTAGGTGAAAGTGGGCTTCGTCACTCATAGGCGAAAACGCGGTGTTCCACCGTCCAAGGCTCCATAACGACAACTGGTAAAATAATGCTAGGATCTCACGAGTCAAACGGCACATTCCCCACCTCTCTCGTAGATGGTGGCGGAGAGTACTACCCATCCCGAAAACGTCCGTCCTCTCTGCCGCACCCTGTATTACATACGTTTGAGATATGGTGACTTCATCGGAAAAAAGTTATATTGTTGATGCGCTAGTACTGTTCTTGTTGCGAGTTTGCAACACTTGAGAGTCACTATTACCCATATGCTAATCATGCAAATTTTTTTCTAATCTAAAAAAATAAAAAATCTGGAAGCTTAACTTTTTCTCATAGCTTATTGAGAGTATAAAGCCATCTACAGATATGTAACAACACCGCGAACCGAACCATGCGACGAACCGCGCCGCGCTAGTGTAGACGGTGAAAAAAACGCGAACCTAATTAGCGTTACAGCTCGCCGTTCGGCCCGATCCAGGCTCTGTTGGTTTTTCAGCGCAACATCAAACGAATGGCTGGCGACGAAGTTGCACATGTTTGGACAGCATACCGGTGCAGGCGAGCTCGCGCTCATCTCTGCAAATTACAGAGCAGCGGAATTGTTGTGGGATGCAAAACATACCCTGCATTACAATAAATAAAAAAAATGATGCCTGGGAGCAGTTAGCGCCCACAATGGGAACAACAGCTGGCTTATGTAAACGGAAAATGGCAATTCCGCTATCAAATTGTTGCAACCATGTGCTGATCTATTGGTATATAACTGCGTTGCCACCGTCTCGGACGTCATCATCACTTGTTTTTGGATAATTCATAGTGAATATAAATATAATCAGCTGCTGCTACTGCTATATCCATTTCAGTTAGTATTCGTCTTTCACTGAATGACAAACATCAAAATTGGATCATCATTTTGTTGCGCGACGTGGTTGCACGACGTCGTTTGGTTTGTGGTGATGCTCGTTGCAATGTTGTTCGTCAAAATGCGCGCGCTGCGGTTCGTCGCGAGGTTCGGTTCGCGGTGTTGTTACATATCTGTACATGGCTTAACAAGCCGGTAGATAATAAGGCTGCCATTGTAAAATATCATTACTGTTCTTGATCAGTTTCACAAAAAAAATTGTGGGGTTTCAGAATTGGGGGTCAGGTGTCGTAGAGGGTGGGTGCGATTATAACTATTTTTTTTTGCGTGTATACATATTTATACCTACTAACCTTATGCCGTACAAAAATCGGATTAACAATGTTTCTTTGAGCTCCTAGCAGCCGCTGTGCCCTGACATTTAGGCTTCTCCCTGCGCGACTGCTTCGGTGTAAAAAAATACCGATGGAAAGCTTGGCTAGCGAATGTGTGTTCTTTGCGAGTGACCAGATTAGTCATAGTGACGTTGCCAGATGGTCGGTACTGTCGGTAGGAAGAAGGGAAGAAATTTCTAGATCGCGACAATTTTGTATACAAAGTACAGAGATAATGTGTTTGATGAAATTTTGTTTAAACATTATCGCATATTTGAATAAGATATTCAATTTTACATGAGTCGCCTTTCACGTGAAATTTTCCATTCTTTTAATATATCAGGTAAACTACGTATAAAATAAATTTCAGCCCGTTCTCCTTTGAAAATATGCTGAAGGTAATGAGGATTGACATTGAAAAATTTTGCTACTGAATTGGCAGCATCGGTGCCACCGGGGGAATGCTGCCCACCCTCCTGGGAATCTGGTTGGACATTAAAATTTGCATACATAGCACGATTTTGTGAACAATTTTGAGGATTTTTAGGATTTGCCCCCTAGGAAAATCTGCTACCCCCGCTCTTCAAATAGTTGTGGCGGCAGCTACACTTTGACAAAAAGCTATTTCTTGCCGATGGTTGGCCCTCTTTCTGAGAAAAATTCATACATCGAGCAGAGATAATGTAGTAGGGGCGGGGCGGAACATTTATGGGGTATGTTTATAGGAACTGTTTTTGTTGTTAACGGACACACTTCCTTTTTCCTCCATTTTTTAAATCACCTTGTATACCTAAAACTCCAATTTTCAAATCCTTGGATGACTGGAGTAGTCACGATACGACTAAAGTCTGGTGCAAATGAGTATAGTGTAAGTGTATGTAAGCCGCAAGCGTGGCAGCTAAATTTATCTAACGGAGGCGCGAATTTAGAGCAAGCAGGCTCTAATTGTAAATATTTATCGGCTTACACATCAATCCCTGATCACTACGAATAGATTTTCATCCTCTTTCGCCACAGCATATGTAACCCTACACAGTAATGCAACTCCCGACGATATGATGGGTTCACGCGGAGTTGTTCCATCTATTATAAGCATAATATGAGGAACAGACTTTCAAAAGGCGTTATGCTATGACCCTCATAAATTGAGGAGAGTGGAAAAAACTGCTGTGACAACATGCGTAGCTGCAATTGCTTGATTTTGGTGAATCAAATACCACGAAAATAGATAGGCTTTGATGGTGAAGGAGGATTACCTGGAAAACACAGAAATTCCATTTTTTGACCAAAAGTAGATTCTATTTGATGCACTTTGTTTGCCCGAAGGTGAAATGTCCTTCTGTTTGAGAAACGGTGACTTAAGTCAAAATACCTTTATTCCATTTACCGATGAATACAATCTTATAAAAAATAGGCTTAGAGAAAAATATTCAAACTTTCACTCCACCATCATCCTCGATGCAGTTACATACTTCTTGGGCATTATCTTCATCATTGTCTTCATCACTATTCTCTTGTAGCTCTTCAAGGGGCTCTGGAAAAATAGGACGAAGCCATTGCAATTCCTCATCCTCACGCCATCTTTCTGTGGATAGCTGCACCAAAAGGTTATGCAGACTTTTCAACTTTGTCCTTTTTATTTCATGATTCAAAGGCAACCTTGGAAAACTCAAGTTTTCAATCTTCTTGTTTTTTTAACAACGTCAAGTACTTGGCGTTGGCATCGTCATTTCTGTAAAAGGTTTCTGTTTTCACCGCTACATGTTGTTTTGAAGTCCATTTTATCAAGATTCGCTTAGCATGACTGATTGTTTCGATTTTCTTAAAAGTGGACAAAGCGGATTTCAGGTCATATATTTTCCAGTCAGTCCCAAGCTTTCGAACCAATCTGACTTGAGAATACAACTCCCAGTATTTTTCTGGTGACTTTAGTGTGATATGGGACCTAATAAGCTTCTCACATCGTCCAAAAATGCGATCCGCTGGCAGGTATGAATGACCTCTTATTGGAAAAACCATTCTTATAGATTGCAGGCCTTTTGGTGCTTCTTTATGTAGCCACATCATTAGCATGTGAACTATGTGACTGTTCTTGTTTTGGCCTCCACATCCATCAGAGAACAACGTCAATTCTTTCAAGTTTTTTGGAAATTCAGCCTTTCTGAGAAAATCGTAAAGAGCAGAACCAACTTCTGTGGCACCCCTTCCTGCTTGGTGTTCTAACCATGAGTAGAAAATTGGTCGCTTGCAAGGTATGTCTGTGATACAGAAAACATACAAGGAGAGTTGCTGTGCATAGAATGCCTCTGAAATCGGTACTTTAGGGAGAGGTTGTACCTGCTGAAGATCGAAGCAGAATGCCATCCCGTCTCCAGATTTTTCCTTTATCATTTTAAAAAACTGCTTTGCTCGTAACTTATGTACTCTTAAATTTGTAATAACAGTTTGCTTTTCGCGTTGGCCGTTCACCATAGAGAGCAGATTTAGGTGCCGCGTACAGAATCCACAAACATCGGTCGCCGGTGTACCGAATCCTATGTTAAAGTCATTCGAAAAAATGCGACTAAAGTACTTATAATTTACTTTATAGCTTTCTTCAACGCTATCATTGTATAGCCTATGTAGTATGGTGATATTGTACTCTGCAGATAAATATATCCTTTTAGATTTCGCTCTTCCGTAGTGACTCTCTTGCCCCTTTAAATTTGCGATGAATGCTTTCACTTTTTTGCGCTTTTCCACATTTTTCTGCGAACGTCTGTCACCACCACGATTTTCAGAAATACCCGATCCAGCTTTCATTTGCCTAGAAATATTTTGTATGCGTTTCTGACTAATACCAAAAATTTTTAAAAACATTTTCTGATAAATTCTTTTCTTGCTGTTGGAGCTCCACACATTGTAATGCACAGTAATGTTGCGGTTTCTAGTAAAGCTTTGGTCTGAACGTTTCTTTCTCCTAGGAGTTCCAATTTCAATTAAATGAGATAGTTTCGTATCTTGCTTAACCTTGTCTTTTTGTAAATAAAACTTTTGTCGGCAGCGCCTTAGATCTTCGAAAGGAATATCCTTACATGAAAGTTTTTTATTTCTGCCATGCTTACAGGAGACTTTGAAACCATCAAGGTTGGGATCAGGGTCATCGTATCTAGAAATAAAACCGCAATCTATGAGAAAATTCCCCAAATAACATAATTTACTATATCTACCGTAGTTCTTTCTGCCGCTGTCGTGATGTTGCACCCCATTTTCGTTTTCTACTGCCTCTGTCTTGATCACCAACAATATGCTCTTCATCCATAATAATGGTCCGACCGATCTAACCCACTCGATATCACTATGCTAACTGAAGCAAGTTACGACAGGATTACAATCTTGAGACACGTGTCCAAACAAAAGGGTTTACTTGCTGCTCATCCAAAATATACTGGACAAACAAAAAGCGTTCATGCACTAACTAGCTCATCAAAGTCTATTTGTTTGTCCAACGCAGAAAAAAATAACGCTCTTTGAAAGTCTAGACGTATTAACGGGCGTTATATTTATCGTTTAACATCGTTTTGGATGTCCAAGGAGCGGTTGACAAATGGAGATGAACCTATACATTTGATCGCCATCTTTTGGCCAATTTCGTAAAAACTGCACTTAATGCTTTTTGAAAGTCTGCTCCTCATATATAGATCCATTTCCATTACAAATACAACATATGTAAAACGGGCCCCAGTAGATTTGTCTAAAAAATCAGTATGATATATTTCCTGCCCTCCCGAACAAAAATGTAATATTTGCCATTTTGTTTGGTATTTACCGATCCGTTCAAGCAAGTGTGGTTATCAGTTTGGTTTTAAGATCCGTGACGTCCTGAATCAGCTGTTATATGTCATAGCTATCACCGCAAAATAGTGGTATTTACCCAGTTCAGGAGTAGTTTTATATTTCTAGTTATTATTTGAAATGTGACAAGTTAGAATTTTGCTGGGTATTGGATATTTTTGTTGCACTTCAGCTTCATTTTTAGAAAACTTGTTACAGGCTGACTTCAGTTGTAGCATGAAGTAGAGCACCTTATTAGTTATACTCATTACTGTTGTTTGGGAAGCTTTAAATCTAGTTCCTATGCTTAGCAAAGTATCCTGTGTAACCATATACCACAGGAATATTAAAATATGGCCATATAAACTAACTGGATAATGTCCTCCTGTATACGGTTTTTCCTATCATTTACGCTAAATCAATAAATGTTTTCTTTGACATGCAGCAAAGTTTAGAGAATTGAAAGTTATCATAGCTATAAAGCCATGGTTCTATCATTAAAAAATATTTTCCCAAAAAAAAGAAACATTTCTCCCATTATTATGAAAGGTTTCTTTTTTAAACTTTCGATACGCTGTTGTAGACGAAAAAGCACCGATTATTAAGTGATAATAAAAATAATCAGAAATTATATATATATATATACGTGTTTTTCTAAAATAAACAACCTGCAACAAAACCGCGGTTAAAACCATCGCGTTCAAGCAATTCGAGTAACTGAAGTCATCAACCCTTGTGTCATCTTAAACCATACTATAACCACGGTACATAACACAGAAACCTTGGTTATTCGCTTGGATTTGATTCATGATTCTGAGAAATATAGGATTGTTTGCTATATTTAAAAAGATGGTGAATGTGTCGTTTGTAGTTCTTAGACCAAAAACCAAAATCGCTGAGAATCAGTATACTAAAAGAAATATTTCGATAAAACACCTTGCAGGAAGGTCTTGGGAGGTGCTATCATCCTTACAAAGTTAGTTTCGTGGCAAGTTAATTTTTATATTGTAAAACGGTTATAAGTACTTCGACATCAACAATATCGTGTTCTTGAGGTGTCCAAGCAACATTAATTGCGTAGCGGATTCAAGAAAAATGCAAATGCAGCACTTGCAGTAGAAAATTGGTTAATAGTCTACATCTGCAGCTGAATCAAATAAATGTCGGCTAGAAGAAAGATATAAATAAATAAGAACCATTGCCCGATTAATTATCAATTTCATAAACTTGTATCCCATTAATTTGATTCGGTCTTTGAAAAGCTAGCCGAAACGTGAGTAAACTAATCCATTCAACATCTGTGGGCTCATTTATTAGCCGTTGTAAGGAAGATAAATAAGTTACAACTCAACGCAATGTTTGCTGGCGTTCCCTTTCGCCCTCAAAATCAACATGACCTTGATTTGACCTTGTATAGGTTATAATCAAGGACGAGGAAGCAAGATTTTTCTGTGCACTTAAAAAGCTAGCTGTCCTAATGAATTTCTTGAATTTCGAGTAGCTCGTGCCAGATCTATACAGGGTGACTTTGAAGTTGAGTCATTAATTTTCAGATAATGATTGTAGAAGGAATATAAACCAAAATATGTGTGTAAAAATAAAAAAAAAAATAAAAAAAAATTTTTACCTTGTTTTATAAAGTATCCTCCCGACAAGTATTTCAGTGCGGACCTGTATTTGATCGTGAGGTCCCCTGTGAGGTCTTAAGTCACCTGATTCACGAGCCCGTTGTACTACATTAACAAAGGCACGAGGGGTTGGTTGCACTCGATTGGGAAACCGATCCGCATAAACATGTGCCATTTTTTATTTCGTTTGAGCCACGCAACAGATACAACTATTCACTGACACTTACTGTATACAAATGAATGAAATAATTCGTTCCAAATTCTTTCGCTTTTTTGTTTCCGATGCGATGAACCGATACGACGGATTATATCCGTTGTCGCCAAACACGAGCACATTGAGACAGGGCGGTACTCAAACTTCCAAAGGGCTATAACTTTGTTACTTTAATTTTACCAGAAAAATGGTAAAGGAAAAAAACATTTCTTTTGATCAGATCTACTCACTGTTAAAATAAATGACTCAACTTCGAAGTCACCCTGTATATTTCAGCATAAACATATAAAAATCAACTTGCCCTGAAACTGACCTTGTAAAGATCATGGTCACTATCAATATGACACGTCTCAATACCTTCACACAGGGTGATTAAACAAAATACTTATTTTAGTATGCTGATTCTCCGAGTTTCTAGTTTTTGATATGATAATTACAATCGGCACATCCTCCCATTTTTTCAAATAGGGCAAACTTCATCCCCCTATTTCTCAGAAACTTATCATAGGATTGCTTTGGTCCCATACACACTTCTGTTTGAGCAGGCAAGAAATATATCATACTGAATGTTTATACAAAGACTGGGACCAATATTCCATATGCTTTGTGCCTGGTCCGATTACTTATCACTACGAGCATGATTTCTATTACCTTTTGCTATTTTTTCGTGATAGCTCCAAGCGCCATCTGTGCAGCGATAGTTTTTAGTGGTTCCTGAAAATTGTGTCACCCACCCTCACCTGGAGCAGCTCCAATAACACATTTTCGTGTAAATGTGGCCACTCCACGATTTGACCGTAATGAATACATAGCAAAGAAAGATATGATAGTTTGAAACTAGTGTGATTTGACTTACTGAAACTAGGAATGCGTCAGTTGTTCACGTAGTCGCTGGCTGGATACCCTTTTGCCAGTGGTTGCAGTGTTAACCCTGATAAGCTTTTCTTTGTGAATTTAAATGGTACGTTACTGCAACTATTTAAGAAACGACAATTCTACAATACAAAAGCAATACAATAATGTAATAATTAATGTAACTAATTTTTTTTGGAGGTCCTGTACGTCTTTGTCACTACCATCGCGTCACTCCTCTGGCAGTTTTCATGTCAAATGTTTCCTCTACTTTTCTTCTTTAACTACTGTATACTTTTTGTCATTGTCAAACAAATCCAACTGCAGCCGTTCTTTGAGCATCTATGAGCTCTCAATCTATGCGATTCTCTTGTATCAAGATCGATGGAACTGAATACTTGTTATTTTTAATAAAGAACTATTGTATTTATTTTCATTTCATTTACAATTTCGCCTGGTACCTATAAATCATGTCAAAAGCAAATTATTATCTTGCCCTGTCAAACATGTATCATATATGATATACTCTTGTGGCATACGCAATTACCTTGTATTCACCAAAATCTAATTTTTTGGCTCTAATATATTTATACGTTCTCAACCCCTGTAATTCTACGCGCTCATATTTCGTACGTTATACATAATCGCTTATGAAATGATGACAGCGTTGGTGAGAAGTTCAGAGTCAACCTTCTTGACGCCACTTTTTTCTTGTTTTCCTATGCTCCGCGATAGCATCTAACGGCCTGCTGCTTATATTTAGCTACAGCTGAACCCGTTATGTCCCTCCTAATTACATTTGTTCTTTAATGATTGCTTCGATATCTGCCACTGGAACGACTTGTATATTAGTTATATTTGTTCCCAGTATCTATTTAGTCCAACACAAAATATAAAAGTCCCAATTTGCTGCATAAGCTATATTCTAACCAAATGTAATTTTGAGTGACACTTCAGACTATTGATACAACTGACAACTTTCAAGATTACAGTATACAAAACCAATCAAAATTATTTTTTGAGTTACAAAATAATTCGAGTAGTCAAAGCAATAATGCTTAAGCTATTTCAAATGGCTTACTTCTTTTCTTTGCTCTATTTCTTCCTTCCTTTCTTTCCTTCTTTCCCTTTTGCCCTTAAACATGTTTGGTATCTAGGTAGCCAGACCTGACAGACTAACAGACCGACGAGACTTTTAACTAAGAGCAAAGGTCCCCCGATCCGCTCTGACGAATAATGACGAATAGTATAATGTTCAAGATGAATATAAGTACCAGGCAGAAAATACAGGGTCAACGAAAATGGAAAGTAGTTTTATGAGCAAACTGGAAAAGATATCGAAGATTTGTTTTCGTAGAAACCTTGTCATGTTACTAGTGCATATATTAAAATTATTTTAATATATAGAGGGTGTTCCATAACTTTGTGCCAAAGCAAACATATATTTTTTTTAATTCAGCATCCTATATTTCAGAATAGATATTCTAAAAACAAGAAGTTTGATTTCATATAACATATTATGGTTTCCATTGTCAATTGTTCAGATATTTGGTCAAATGTTCAAAAAATGCCCAGCTTTGACGGCTCGCAGCTCAGCCATTTTTGAAAATATATAGATAAATCTGAGTTCACAAAAAATTA